GTTTTTTGTAAAAATATGGGCGTATTTGAATTACGACCGTATTTCAGCCCGTATTTCACCCAGAATCGGGTTGAAAGAGGCAGATTCGAGCCAAGGGAAAGGGATTCGACTTTTTGGAGCAAAAACAGAGTTCTAGAGAGAGAAAGTGCGAAGAACAAACCCTCAGAGCTATTTTGGAGTGGATTTCTCATTATTGAAGCCCAGATTGCATCCCCAGGAGTGAAGATTAACATCCCATAGCATATTATTCCCATCGTTATGAGTATGACTGCTTTGATTTCTATTTTTCTCTCTCTCTCTCTCTCTCTCTCTATATATATATATATATATATATGGAGTAGACCTTTCTCTCACTTGGGTATGAAGAACCCTAGTTCCATGTGTTAGTGATTTGAGTTGTAATTACTTTTGGATTGATATACTGATTGATTTTAATCGATTAAAGTGTATTTATTGAGTCAATTGAATCCTGATCAACTTCTTTTGATTTCTGCTACAACCTGAGATAGATAGAATCTGATTAGGTTGTTAGAGCTTCTTGAATCGATAGGAGTGAATTGATTGTACGAGAGTCGGTCAATTCACTACTTTGTACTGGAATCTGTTTCCAGTACTGGAGTTTTGTGTTAATTGCCTTAGCATTCTATCCCGGTGAAGACTAGTCGTCTGCCGGTTAGTCTGTCTAAGAGGGTTTGGTCAGCTTAAGAGATTCCAAACTACTGTCGGATCTTTCGCAGTTTAATCAAAAGTAAATCAACTAAAGTAAATTACAAATTGGACTTAACTACGAAGCTAGGGAGACTCAATCCCGAGTGACTCTTCTCTTGCTTCAGGAAACCGGACAATTTACTGCTTTCTTTCTGTTTAGTTTGAATTCACCTACACTCACTTAGTCCCGCTAGATAATAGAAGTTCACGGAGTAGGCAATAGATCTAGACCCCGGGTTGATAAATTAAACTTACCCACTATTCTGCATTTCCAGACTGCGATTATAATTGGTCGTGGTTTGGTGTTGTGTTTTAGCTTGTCAAAAGCCTATTGGAACTTCTCCATATAAGCTTGTCTATGGCAAAGCTTTCCATTTGTTGGTTGAGCTAGAGCATAATCCCTTTTAGGTCATTAAAATTCTTAACCTCGATATTAATGTTGTAGGCAATGAAAGAAATTTGCAGGTTATGGAGTTTGAAGAATGGAGGTATCATGCTTATGAGAACACACGACCAAACAAGGAGGAAACAAAGCATCTCATTACACTCGTTTGAAGTAGACCATTGAATTTCAGCCTGGCGATCGAGCTCCCCTCTACAACCAGTGAATTTCAGGCTGAGTTTGTTGCAACAGCCTACTGTGCAGCTCAAGCAGTCTAGTTAAGAAGAATTTTGGTTTGAGTTTTAGTGTGAAGAAAGCCACTAAAGTGCTATGTGATAATAGCTCGAAAATAAAACTGTCCAAAAATCGAGTTCTCCATGACAAGAGCAAACATATAGATGTGAGGTTTCACTTCTTAAGAGACTTTGTTCGAGATGAGGTAGTGGAATTGAAGCAATGTGGAACAAAGGATCAAGTGGCTGACATAATGACAAAAGCTCTGTCATATGATTCTTTCCACGGGCTGAAGCAGGAGCTAGAGATGTATGATCTTTCTGAGATTGAGGGTGCGTGAAGGTTTGTGTTAGAAACAAAGTTTCTAACGGGTTTGATAATTGGGGATTTAGGGATTTGAAGAATAGAATTAGGGATTAAGAAATAGAATTTGGGGAAGAACAGAGATAGAATGGCCGAAGCCTTTAGAGAGAAAGATAGACGAGATTGAGAGAAGATTAGGGATTTGGGGAGATGACTTTTCTTATTAATTTCTGCTTAATCTGACGAATGACCCAAAGTACATATATATAGGGAAATACTAGAAAACCCTAACAGTAAACCTAATTCTATTAAATGACTACTAACCTTATTGATAATTACCTTAATAATAATTATATTAATAAATAGAGAAACCCTACAGAAATCAGTTTCTAACATCTCCTCTCCCTTCAGACCAACCTTGCCCTCAAGGTTGAACCACTTGACCCACTTCTTCCATCCTTCTCGCCCAATTCGTGGTCGACTCCTCCATTTCTTACGCTTCTTCCAATTGTGCTCCACTACTCGAATGAAACCCACTCCAGCGACCCCGACTCTCCCCAACTTTTCTCGAACCACGTGACACAGGTCACGGTCTCCATAGCCGAACAATTCTTCCTCTTTCTTTTCGAAATCCATGAAATAAGAATCAGAGAACTGTTCTTCCTTGTTTTCCCGCTTGAAGTCTTCAAGAGAAGGCTCTAGAACTTCCATCATGGACTTAGTGGTGAAGAAAAGCTCTTTTGGGCTCCATTCTGCTCCAAATTGGTTTGAATTAAGCTTTTTTGAAAGCCCACATTCAAATCTAATAAGCCCATTTCCTTCTTTCTCCATATTTTGTTCCTGCAAAATAAATGCAACAACACAGCCCATTGGCCCAGGGTTCTTCAGACAGTTCGGCCCATTACCTCCATAAGCCCAACTGATCTCTTTCTTGGCTGGCCCATTCAGAGGGGTTTCTTTCAGTCTAGGCCCACTCGATCTGGCCTGTTTTGTTGATCCTTATTCTCACAGGCCTGCTGACCTGCGCCGCCCAACTCGAGCCCAACGGACTCCATCAGACCAAAAACGAGCCCGACACTCCTCTCTGGCCCATAAGGAATTGCAACCCGGTAGGTAGAGTGGCCCAAATGGACTAGCCCTTCCTCTGGTGTGTGACCTAGGGTTGCTGGTGGAGCAACACAGCCGCCGCCTTCCTTCTTCCTCTCACCTTGTTTTCCCGGCGGCGAGTAACCCGACGGCCACCCCGACTCCGACGTCTTCCTCATCGAACGGCGACCATTGTGACGATGGGAAGGAAGGAACAAGTCCGTCATCTTCCTAGTTTGACCCTCCTCCGTCTCCGTCATTTCGCCCTTCCTCGGCGCTTCGTTTCCCGACGAGATTCCCTTCCTAGGCGATGGATCCAGGCGACTTTGCTTCGCCTCTTTCTCCCGATCCGCCGTCTCCTTTTTTCTTCGACGGTCAACGCTGGCGCCATGCTTCTTTAATTCCTTTTCCTTCTCAGATGACTCCTTTCCCAACGACGCGAGTGGCAGCTCCCCGGCGCCGATCTCCTTCTTCTCTTTATTCTCCTTTGCTGGCGACTGCTGCTGCTTGTCATTTTCCCGCCGCGAATAATCCACCAGACGACACGGTGGCCGTCGCACCTCTAGACTCGGCTTCGTATTCTCAAGACCCGGCTCCGGTGGTGGATCTTCCACCATCTCCCAGTCGATCACGTCCCGTCTCGGGTCTGATCCTGTCTCCTCCAATTTCAGCTTCGATGCAGCCTTCTCAGCGCTGGACTCTTCCGTCCTGACCGAGGAAATTGGGATCTTTGGTGCTGGCGATGATTCCTCGTCCGCGCCAGCTGTTGGAAGGGTGGCAGCGGCTGGCGGTATTGGGAAATCCGTCGGTGCAAGCGTAGTGGGAGGTGGCGTTGGTTCGCTGGTTGCGCGCTTCTCGCCTGCGTCAACTACCGCGGCGCGCTGCTCGGTTCGCCGCTCGCCATCACACGGGTCGGCCTCGGCCGGCGGTGGTGGGTGCTCGCTGTCGGCTACTCGGGTCACCGTCTCTGCTTGCACGGTCGGCGACTCTTCGGAGCTCCAACGGCGTCCGATGCGGCGAGCCCGGTCACGCAGCTCTGCCCACGACAGGTTCGAGAGCTTTGAAGAGCTCATCGTCGAACCAGTTGTAGAACTCGTCCCTGGTTGAGAGTTGTGGTGAACTCAATTCTTGAACCGGGCTCTGATACCAAATGTTAGAAACAAAGTTTCTAACGGGTTTGATAATTGGGGATTTAGGGATTTGAATAATAGAATTAGGGATTAAGAAATAGAATTTGGGGAAGAACAGAGATAGAATGGCCGAAGCCTTTAGAGAGAAAGATAGACGAGATTGAGAGAAGATTAGGGATTTGGGGATATGACTTTTCTTATTAATTTCTGCTTAATCTGACGAATGACCCAAAGTACATATATATAGGGAAATACTAGAAAACCCTAACAGTAAACCTAATTCTATTAAATGACTACTAACCTTATTGATAATTACCTTAATAATAATTATATTAATAAATACTAGAAAACCCTAACCTTATTCGTTGCAAGGTTGCCTGAAGCTCCTCCAATTTGTCCTGCCGCGCTGCCGGCCATTTGCTCCTCCTCTACAAAGCCTTGTGGAAGATCACCTTCTTGATTATTTCACCCACGAGCAATCAAATCAAACACACAGTGGTCCCAACTAGTGTGCCAATTTGTTTTCCGACGAGGAAAATCTTCTGTATAAACTCAATAAATGTACATTGACTTCTTGAACAACGATAAATACACGATTCACACATCTTCAAATATTTGCTCGAACGAGATTGTTTGATGTTCCTTATGATTTTTTTAGGAACAATCTAAGTTATGTTTCTCTACTCCTATGTAGTTTCAGTGAGAACTCCGGAAACTAAAGGCTATACTTGGACCCACTGAAAAGAGCGCCTTCCGTAATTGAACATGGAGGAGCACTTCTTTCATATGGTAAGGACTCTATCCCGCTCCTGTACATTCGTGAAAAGGAACCGTAATCCGCTTATTTCCGCCTCCATCACAGTAACATGCTCTGGAGGTGCATGTGCATCCTTTCAGGGGTTGTCCTATCAACTCCGCAGAATTAGCCTTCTATATCAGCATCCTCCTACTCCACCACCTCAACAGACTCCATACACCACTCACCGACCAATAGCCAAGAACACCAGGAGTCTCGGATCAATGACGAGCCATCCAAACCAAACTGCTCCCACCTGCGCAGATCTTAACTCTGTTTTTCGAGATCTTGCCCTGCTCCATTGAGGTGTACCAACTGTATCAGGTATTAACTTTTCACTGTGATCTTGATCACAGCCAGTCACACAGCCAGCCTAGAAACGGAAATTCTGGGAATGGAAATCTCAAAAATGCTAAAAAGAAAAACAGTAGCAATGTAAAGGCTACATTTGGCAATTATATACAGAATAAAATACTACCGTCTGTCTGTCCGTCCTTTCGGTCTACATATTACAACAATGCATTTTGCCCGCCCTCAAGCCTCACAATTCCTACAAGAATCTTAACAAGCAATGATAAAAAAAAACAACGCTGAGAATAAACAGGACTTGCAGGCTGCAGCTATGCCATGTTTTGGAAGCTAAAGTTGTATTCTCCCACAACAAACAGGAAACTCATACAACAGTTCAAGAAGAAACCCAAAACAGCCCAAGATTCATTCAGATGCATCAGTATCACCACCTTCAAACTATTGCCCCTGTTATGGGCAGCATCGCACCGATCAAAGCCAACATACAGCGATCTCTGGACGCACTAGTCACCTTTGACTATCGAAACACGAACCAGACTGACAGTTTCAATCAGGAACAGTTACAATTCGACGCCCATCACGCTGATACCAGAAGGAGGATAACACTTTGTCCATCATGGCAAATAATCGTATAACATAAAGGCAAGTCCTTTCTGCCACATATGCATCTCAAAAGGTGCACCTTACAGGAACTAGTAGCCTTGATGCAAGCAGATATACCAATACGCAGTTCCTGCCATAAGAAAAAGCTATTGAGAACCCTCATGACGTCAATTGCAACTTTAAAAAAAATAAGAAACTTAAAAAAATTACACAAAATTATGAATATCTCATGATTGTCATTCAATACAAATAAAATCAAAATCTCAATATCTATCCAATTGGTTGGCAACTTGGCAATTGTTGACGCTTGAAATAGATCGAACAACTAATTATCCAATCACACACCTTTTTAACTTCCACGTTTACGTTTTAATTTGATGCAGATCCCACTATACTTTATATTTATGTATTTGCAATTCTACTCACTTCTTTGTCATATAAATCCAAAGGCTTGAGATCAACTTCAAACAGCTCACTTATTCTTAAGAAAAGGTCGACAAATTGAGACCAGAGAAATCAGGACACCCACTAATCATTTGCTTATTTTTCTTGGTTGAAAACTGTTAGAAACAAAGTTGCTAACGGGTTTTGGATTGGGTGATATTTCGGAATTTAGGGATTAGAAGGGTAGAATTAGGGATTGAGAAGAGAATTGGGGAAGAACAGAGATAGAATGGCCCGCGGCCGAAATAGGGAAAGAGGAGAAATTGAGAGGGTTTGGGAGAGAATAGAATTTAGGGATTTTCTTAATATTCTTCTTATTAATTCATTATGAATACCCGAATTCCAGCAAAACCCTACTAATAAACCTAATTCTACTAAAAGTCTACAAACCATAATAACTTAATAAGAATAACCCTAATTATAATTATAATAATAAATATAGAAACCAGAGATAAATCGGTTTCTAACAAAATCATGAACTTATTTTAATAATGTTTCATCCCAGACTTCCATTTCTACTATTTGCTTTTGTTGACCACTTCGCCAATAGGCCTTAAACGAGCCATCATTTTTCTTGCAAATTGAACAAGAAAAATCAACGAAACCATATCAGAAAATATTGGGACTAGATGGCCAGCCAAGTGAAGAAGGGTTAAGAAATCATGCTTACCCAGTCAAACACGATGAATTGAAGTTTCATCAAAGACCTAATAGCGTCTCCCAAGATGAGGGGACGCAGAGCCTGAAGATGTTGGAAGCAGGCGCTGCACAAAAGGATGGTCCAAGAGCTGAGCAGCTGTAGGCCGATCATCTGGATTGACTTGGAGACATCGTAGTATAAAATCCCTTGCATCTCCGGAGAGAGAATCAGGAACAGTCGGAGGCACGCCTCTACCAATCCTGAACAATGCCTGCATCTGCTAGAGCCACAAACTATGGTCAACTAATAATCTAATATAGTAGATAAACATAAATGAACAATTTTGAAAGAACCCCAACTTGCTATTGAAATGAACAGGCCAAACAATATTCATATATGATCCAGTCAAAATGCATAATCTCAAAACACCAAACATAATGGCCAGCACATACACATTCGAGATCAGAATATGGAATTTTATGAGTCAACATCTCCAGAACGGTGCACCCGAGGCTCCAAATATCAGCTGGGAGTCCATATCCTTGATTTTTTCGGTTGACAACCTGCAATATCAATTTTTAAAGGAGTCTTGTAAACAGAACGTGCCATGAAGATAGCTTGACAGACACTTTTGAATATGACAACAAAGTACAGAAGAACAGCTACAACCATAAATCACAAATACAAAGAGAGAAGAATATAACATCCAGGAAACAATAAGCTCATTTGAATGCACCCCATGAAAGCCATTCTAGAGTTAGCCCAAGAACCCTTCATTCTATCAATAAGAAACCCTTGTCTTCAAAATAATTCATTCGTCTAGAAGTATATGACTTCATGTTAATCTCCTAAACTTCTAGACAAATATTGAAATATACGATGTAATGTTCAAATCATATTGTTTTTAGAAGAATATCAAAGTAGATGCGAACCTCCGGAGCCATCCAAAATGCAGTCCCCTTGCATGATTTGACATCATTCAGTTTAGTGGCCTGAAGAAAGAAAACAATACATGGCTTTATATACAGATTCCTCTATATTTCCAAGAGTTCTCGTATCCAAAAAATGACGATTCAAAGGGAATTGAGACCTTCGCCAGTCCAAAATCCGCAAGTTTCACGGACCCACTGGCATCTACTAGTATGTTTGCGCACTTGATATCCCTTCAACATGCAAAAGGAAAGATAAATAAGAAGGGAGACACAATGACGTATATATCTTTCATGAGAATTGCTAAAACACCATACAATCTGTGTGTGAATAAACACAACTAAAAATATTATAAGTGCAAAATTCAATCCTGCAACTGCTTCTCCATGTCTCCAACAAAGCCAAAAAATTAAGAGGGGAAAAGAAGATGCTGAATGAAACAGGCAACTTTATCATACATTCACAATATTCAGTTTGGATCAGTGAGGGCAAATGTCAATCTTAGCAAACAGAGAATATAGAGCCAAAGTTGTACCAGAGTTCACCCGGGTACAAAAGAGGCACACTTTCAACTCAGTAATCTAATTTCAATAATACAGGTCCAAAATAACAGAAGAATAGTTTGCTGTCATTACCTATGAACCACATTGAGGTCATGAAGATACTTCAACCCATGAAGAATTTGCCTTGTATAAGCGCAAACCTGGGAATCTTGAAGAGGATATCTCTGATAAAGATTTAGAAGGGAACCTTTAGTCACAAGCTCAAGAAAGATGTAGAGGTTTGATTCATCCTGCAAAGAGAAAGAAAACATGAAATGTATCAGTAATCGAGTTCATAAAATTAATCAAATTTTGTTCTCAATACTGTACTGTTGATTTCAAAAACCTTCTTATTGTGATATGCTATAATAATACTATATAAGAACAAGTCATGTTCTCATTTATATAGCATAGCACCCTTCATGGTCAGTGAATAAAGAAAACCTCTCAAACTTGACAATGATACTTCAGCAAATTCAGCAATTACGTGTTAACGAAAAATAAAATAAAATAATTCAATAAATACAAGAAACCGCAGATTCTACAAAGAAAAGCTTCTCAACAGATTAGCCTGTGCTTCATTTCCCAACAGTTCGCGACAAAGACGAGAGAAAGTTATTAGTATCTTTGTATAAACATGAACTTTTTAGTCATTGCATGTTGCGCCAGAACTAATTTCCACAAAAAAGAAAAAGTACAGCCAGCTAATAAAGGAATGTCTATTTGGGAAAGCATCATAAAAATACTTGTAATATGTTTCACTTAGAAAAAATATGTGTAATAAATCTTGAATAATTTTTTATGTCATCAGAGTTTTCGTTCTCAAACTTCAAAGTAAAAAGGTTGTGCTAAATAATGCAACCAGCAAAACTGGAAGTCAAAATGGGAGAATGGTGATAAAGTCAGTTTTTTTCAGGACACAAAAATGTAATTAATCCAGTCATCCCCATATACCCCTAAATGTAGAGAAGAAAAAAACACACTTTCAGATTTCAATCCTAACTGTAAGCTGTTAAAACAAACTCATAAGTTTCACCATTTTTTTTGAAGGGGGCAAATCTAAAACTAGGTGTTACTCTTCTTTTCAACTGATACCTTCTTAAAACTCAGACCAGCCAATAAGATTCAAAGAAATATCCAAAGAAAATAAATATATCCACAAAGTGTATGCACATTAAACTATGCATAGTTTGACATCCGCTAATTGCACTTAGAGCACTTTGTTAAAGAGAAAGACTATGAACTATGACGCATACGTACCTTGTCTGTGCCATAGTACTGAACAATGTTCTCGTGCTCAAACTGACTTAAAAGAGCAATCTCCTGCACTTCGGGAAAACAAGAAAATCAGCACTACACAGTTTGGCAGATATGCATGTATAAAGAAGAAGAGGAAATTAGTAAACCACATCCTATAACCTGCTCAAGTTGATATATGCTTTGCCTTCCCTGGCTTCCTTGATCGAGCAAAGAAACCTCTTTGATAGCAAAAAAGAACCCATCACTGCACGAAAAAACAGACCATTATGGGGAAAATTAACACACCAGTAGCATTGTTCCACTTCCCAACTAAAGAGCGCAGCACAATTGGTAGGATTATAGATAACTAGCAAGCTTCTTAACAGAGCAGACAAACCCAGAAACATAATATATGTAAATAGGAAACTACAAATTTCAACGTGGCACAAAAGGTAAATCATGGCGTGCACCGGTCCAATAAGACTTGGAGTTATTTCAAAAATGGGATCCCGGTTAACCAAGCAATATAATGAGGTTGAATTAGAAAGTTGACAAACAATGGTCAAAACCAGTCACAAAGCTTACTTTCAACAGCCAAACCTAATTGTGACTCTACACATCATCAAAATTAAGCTAGAAATTAGCCGAACAGATGGCATTCAAGAAAATGCTACGGGGTTATTTACCATTGTTGTGTTAAGACACAAGCTACTTCACAAATATCAAAATCATAAACTATGACAACGGCCATGATTCATTTGATTCAGGGTAGAAAGATCACTCCAAAAGAGATCAAGCATACCAAAACAAGTGAACTAGAAACAGAGTAAAAAGGGGACACAAAATACTACACAGAAACCAGCAGTCGGGTCTTACTGAGAAATTCCCTCGTACACCGACCCAAACGATCCACGTCCTAGAAGGTCTCCTTTTATCCAGTCGGAGATAATCCTTCTGAATCTTCCATTGGGAGAGATGTTTGACATTGGTTCCGTGGTAGAGCTCGACGAATCATCATCGTTTGAGGTGGTAAACGAGCAAGACTCAGACAACACAGCAGTTTCCCCAATTCTCAACAAATTCCCATCTTCTCCTTTTGGCTCCCTGAATGAGTCCAAACCTTCCTCTCCTTCGCCCCTTTCCTCATCGTCGAAACTCAAGTCTCTGTCAACTGATGCCAACAGGGGTGTCCCATTTTCCGGGCCGAAATCCCTCAACATATCCCACGCTGATCCCGTCGCGGTTATAGGTGGTAAGGTCATTGCCGGCGGCGGCGTCAGAAGAGGCGGACGAACGCCCTTGATTCCTCCCCCTACTCCACTGGCAACGCGGCAATACCCGTTCAACTCGGCTGATTCCGCTGGGTTTTCCCTAGCAAATTCAGTAGCAGAATCCATAATTCTAACCCTATCCGAAAGGCCTGCACAGAGCGCGCTCACATCCCGCTCCTCCGTCCCATGAGCTATGTTATCAACCTTAGAGCCGTCGTTCTCGTGCAATCTAGACCGGGGCAGTAGGTCGGAGGCGGACCTCAACTTCATGGCCTCCCAAGCAGCGGCCGGAATAGCAAAATCCTCGGGCCCAGTGAAGCCAAGGCTTAGACAAATCCGGTCGAACTCGCCATCAGTTCCTTCAATCCGGAAACTGGTCCGATCCTGCAAATCAAGCGATCGCGTGACTAGAGACGACGAGGAGTCGTCCAGAGAAGAAGTAAACGAAGTGGCGTCGTAGTCAATATGCTTGGCGGCATTACGGCGCTCCAGCTTGGGTCTCCTCCGTTTCTTGGGATCCATAGGGCTGCTGCTCTTGTTAGGAGAGAAGAATCGAGGCAAGTGATGCATCGAGAGCCAAATCCATCTAAAACCTAAATAGTAACCTTTTTCAAGCGCCAAAACCACCAAAGGCAGAAGGAGCTAGAGAAACAAATCCATCTAAGGAAACAACTGCGCAGCGATTGCCCTTTCCCTTTTCCGTCAATTAGCCGAGAAAATCTTGGTCGGACGAAGAAGGTGGTACGGCGAATCAATTTTGGGTAAAAAAAAATGGCTGACCAAAGAAGACGAAGGGAGTCGTGGTAATGGCCAATGGGGCTGGGAAGGGGAAGGAAATGTGAGCTTGAGAGACAGTCAGGCTGGTAAACGCCGTCGAGGTAGAGATAGAAAACGCGGTGCCACGTGGCGGGCAGAGGAGCGAGGTTGCTTGAACGTTTGTGCTTGGTTTGGTTTCTACTTTCTACCAACGTTCTCGGCCCGGTTTAGCGCGTTGGTCCGATCAAGCAAATGGGTTAAGAGTTAATGGTATGATTATTTTAAGTCATATTATTCGTTGATCGTCGATTGTAGTGTAAACCAAATTTACATGGCACTAAGGCCAGGATTGTAGTTCCATAGGCTATCTCGCAGAACCCTTACTTCGGAAGCAAGATACGAATCTATTGAAGAAGATATCAGTTTAGAAGGTTGAGGTGTCCACGATTTTGAAAAACGTAAAAGTTTAAAGGTAAAGCGGTGCAAAAAAGTAAATCCAAGGCTACGTTGGACGAGTGAGAGGTGAGAGAAGGAAGGCATAGGCAAGCTCCCCCTAGGTCTCCTAACAATATGTCCCTCGATTATCGGTGGCTTACGAGCTGTCAATTTCTTATTTCGTTAAATCTCACTTTGTATCAAAGCATTTTACCCGAACTAATGGGTGACAAGGACCTTTCAGATTTCTCCCTTGAGGCGTCACGTCGTTCGATCGGATGAAGTTCGATCGAGTATGACTGTTATTTCTAGTCTCATCCTAAACGACTTGGATTTCGATCCTTGCACCTCGAAGGAGTGCAAGGTCGACTAAACTCTCATTCAAATCGACAAATAATGAAATAGACGAAATCAAACATCAACACATATGAAATAAACACAATCATATTAATTCAAATATCGAGTTTGCATGGTTAATCCCTTAGGGTTCACATACCTACGCAACTAAGGAACTTAACCAGCCATGTGGAGGGTTCCTGGATGTTTGTCGATTGAAACAAAGACACTAGAACACTCACAGGAAACGGGGCCGGTGACAGAGAAAACAGGCTTAGGGGCGTCACTTCTCTCTCGTAGGTTGGTCTCATTCTAAGTTAGGAGGGTTACTTTGCCAGCAGAGTAACGATTCTTCCTTAACCTCTCGTCTCCCCCGTTTATTTCTATCTCTAGTGACCTATTTATTGGCCTTTGATTAGGCTTTCTAAGGAGATAAACCCGCAGCTTCAGCGCAATTCAGACAATTGGGATGCTCCAAATACGTTGCCAACGAATCGGGAAGCTTCAATATGAATTTTTGTCGAAGTGGTCGGCTTTAGTAAAATGGCGCCATTTCTGCCGTTTCTCTTCATAAAAATGGCATTCCAGGCGTCATTTTTTCAAGGTGTCCTGCCTTCGAATCCCACCTACAGCAACTGGATTTGGATGTCTCATATGGCTTCCAAATGGTCCACTAGTCTGCTTTGACTTGAAAATGCATAAAACATACCAAAAGCGTATCAATCGTATAAAAGCAATCATAGTATAAATTCAATGTATTATGACAATAATGATGGGAAATGTATGCATTTTGGGTCATAATACAGGGGTTTAGAAAAGATACTTTTACGTGTTATCAAATACCCACACTTTTGAACTTTGCCTGTCCCCAAGCAAACCTAGGCTCAACATCCTTCTCCTCACTAGATCTCCACGATGATACTTGACTTCTGATCTTAGGAGTGGATCATAAGAAGCTTACAAGGTCAACTCTTGCACTTAGAAACCTTTGTCCTGACAATGATGCTCAAAACGTACTTCATAAGTACGAAATGATTTATTTCTCACGAGATGGAATTCTCTTTTTCTCCCTCGAGTATTATTTTATGAATATTGGGGAGAAGAATATGTAGCTTTATTAGGAGGTATTTGCGTTCTTGCCAACGCAAGTCTTTACTTACATTTTTTGTACTAAAACGATCCTGTCACGCCGCATTGCACCTTTTGTGCTACTTTATGCGCAAAAGAGGGCATGTTTTGCCTCATACTTTGGTACCGAGTGAGCCTGATCAAGCACGAGTGCTTGCTCTTATTCCTCGATCGTGTGGAGGGTCAATGAAGTCAAGAGATATCGAAAGTTTTATCTGTGCACTTGAAAAACAAATTCTCAAGTTCGCAATCCTACAAGGGTGGAAATTTTACTTTTACTAGAGAAGAACTAGCATCGTCTCGTAGGCCTGCCCCACCAACACTCAACTAGTATCTCTTCCAAAACTCGATTTTTTCCAAGGGTAGGGCGCCTCACACTTGGATTTTACCCCACACTTTATTACGGTGGCATTGTCTACTGATGTAGACTTGACGTGGTAGGATATCAATTGTACGAAACTACATATCGACCTCATTTGCTTTAAGCGCAGAAGACTCCTTCCTTTTAGGAGGAGTTAGAGAATTTGAAAGGAATGGTAGAAAGCACCAATCAATACTTTTTTTTTAAGATGGATCCAAATGTCATGACAAGGACATTCTTCATAGCACCTATACTAGCGTTACTTAGATCACGTATTAACACAGAGACTAGCAATTCAAAGTATGACGAACTTTGAATTTGATTTGGGAGTGTGTCATTACTTGAAATTTTCAAATTTTATGCGCAAATCCACACACTAAATTCTTTCCCCCGTACATAAAATAAGCATATGATTGACTTCGGAGGGTTATCGCGTCGTCCTCACAGCAGTGAGCTAACCCGTGAGAATTATATCACATTTTCCAGATTTCATTATTTGGAATCAAATTTGCCGAGCCATTTATGGCCAATGTCACAAACGTGAACCGATCCGTGAACACGCTCACGGGCATGATCCGGTCGTAACCCATGGAAAAATTTCCTCCAAAGTGAGGATTGTGCAACTTTACGTGACGGGTAGGAAGCACCATTTCCCATATGCACGAACATTCAGAAACATAGTAATATCAGATGAAAAATAGTCTATCTAAACCCCACCCCACAATTTAAATGTGATAATGTCCTCATTGGAACGAACAAGAATTATCGATAAAAGTAAAACAAAGTTATCATATTGTTGAAATGCATGCCAACTTGCTAGTTTCTTGATGTTTAGTTTTCCTATGAGTAACAAAATGCGTCAAACTGAGAGAGCAAGTGCATCATCTCCTCCTCTATGGCAAAACCTAAGAGGTTCGCCTAAGTGATCTCTTGAGGCAATACAACTCGAGAAGAGTGAAGAGCCTACAAAGCTAAACGGTGTTCCAAAAGCAAAGCCATAGTGATATTGAAATCGCGGTGTCCTAAGTGACAAACAAGAGAAAATGTATGAAGGTGTAGCGAGGACACCCTCACTCTCATAAAGAAGAAGAGTAGCATGTTAGGGATTACCCATAATACCATTATGTATCATTGTGAGAGGTTCTTGAAGAGAGTGACATTAGATGAATCCCAATTGTTCACCCCACACTTTAGTTCGTCCTGTATCAAAGCTACAAAGAAGCTAATATTTGGAAATTGAAACCAATGTCGAGTTAGACACCAAGTTATGCTCGTTATGGGTCAATTCACAAGTAGAGGGCACCCAACCTGTAACACCCCACCCATAATCTCTATGCTTAAACTCGTGGTTCAACTGCGCAACCAACTTCTCGATGTTACGGGTTGAACTCAAACATCTCAAACGTCATATCTGATAATTAAACACAAACATAAACCGTTATCATACAAACTTATTATTCAAATTCCAAACCACTTATTGAATTTGTACAAAACGTGGGTTTATTATTCAAAATACTCAAAAGCAGAAATCCTAAGTGACCATGGCAGAACAGTGTTCCAAACTACCTCGTGATGGTAGTACAGGAAAATAGAGCAACCTTAGTAGTCCGATCTTGGTTGCACCTGCGAGCCTGAAACAGACGTGGGTCAACAACTAAGCTGTGTGTGTGGATCTTTCCCACAACCTAATTTTGTGACCGCAATCAGCTAATCAAATAGTCATAATCAATCACAATTTATTGGTCTAGATGCTATCCTAGGTTATCATATACAAATCATCCATCAATATATATCGAATCCATCAACTCATCCTCATCATCAAATCAATTTATCCAATATGATAATCACATAGTTTCACGAACACATAATCAATGCATGATATGAAATTTTTGATTAATTATTAATGGCGCCAAGGTCACCATACACTTACCCTGCTCGAGCAAATCATTATCATTTGTGGTGCTCATGCAACCACAACACTCAATCCGTGGTTTTCATGCAACCACAACACTCAATCAGAGATGCGAGCTAAATCTACCCAATCCCAAGGGTTGGGAGTAAGTGTAGACCCTTTCTACGAATATGTGATTTAATATGATCAAGAATCAAACAATTTACATTTCTCTCGTCAATCACAAACAACCAGGATCAATGCAGTCTCACTAATTAATCTGTCCATACATATTCCCGCCAGTTATCAACTCGACATTTCTCAAACTTAACCATCCCAGCATCCCATATTAAATAACATATATCATAGCATCCTCCAGTAACAGTTTCATCAATTCCATATCATAATTTCTAATGAAATAATATTCACCAAATTTCACGAAATAACCTCGATGCGAATAACTGTAAATAAACCCGGTTTGCGATTAAAAATATTTTGACTTTAAATTCACTTCCCTTCATTAAAATCATCACCAAATCCCTGTAAATGATTTTACTGACCCAAAAATCATCTAATCAGGTTTTGATCGTAAAGACGTTTTAGGCAATAAAATCCTAAAAATCACATATTAAGCATAATTTTATGGTAACTTAAATTCCAATAAAACGGTAATTCAAAAATCTCCCAAAATATCAAAACATTCACTTATTATCCTAAAACAGATCTGCCCAGTTTTTATATTTTTCATCAATTAAAAAAATGAAAATAATATTACATTCTATCTTTACTACAAATCTGGTATTAAGCTTATTTTTATCATTTTGAAGATAAAAACTCCACCTACTGACAATACCCATATTTTAACACCAAAATCAATTTATCAAGCCAAACTGCCATTTTAAAGTCATCAAATTCTTAATGATGAATAAAATAAGTTTTTACCGATCTTTTCGTAAATTCACCATTGTGCAGTTTTAAATCCAAAATTCATTTTCAAGTGAAATCTCCTCATAA